TGGAGGTATTTAAAAGACGCGTAGATGAGGCACTTAGGGACATGGTTTGTGGGCATGGTGGTGTTGGGTCGACGGTTGGACTCGATGATCTTAGAGGTCTTTTCCAACCTCAATGATTCTATGATTCCATGATTCTATGATTCTAAGAAACTGCAGGTCTTATCCCAGACTGCAAATTGCCTGGATCCTGCTGGTGTAAGATGCAGGAAATCTAGATTCAAACCCCTGTCAGAATTGGGCAAACAGCTGATGTAGGAGATCACCTCTGAGCTCTCAAATAATGTATCGGGCTATTTCTGTTGTCTCTGATTCCTTAACTCATTCTGCATCACTGCAGTATTAAGAGAGCCTCGTGTGGCCTTCATTTATGCCATCTTTGATTCTGAAATTGGTGTGTGTGTTTCCTTTTTCACATTTATGTGTAATTGGTGTTTGTTTGTGTTTCTCTGTATCAGAGGGCTGAGTGGTCCATTGCCCGCTACTCCCAGTGGCTTGATGATCATCCATCTGAAAAAGACAGGCTTGCTCTCATACGGTAAAAATCATGCTTCTTTCTTCTCTACATTTATGATGATGGAGCAGTAACTTATCTGCACACCAGGACTGGTCTTGAAAAGTAATCATGGGATGAGTAGCAAAATGGGAGAATATATAAACTGAACACTCCCCTCCACCCCTCATACCCAAACCCTCCAGTGCCTTCGGAAGGAGCACATAATCCTCTTGCAAAAGAAGGAAACCATGCACAATGGTGGTTTAAATTAATACTGTGTTTTAGCAAAACTGCCTCTCTCAACTGTTGGAAAGTCAAGGCTGCAGCCGTCCTGTCTTGTGTACCAGGAAAGAGAAGCTTTGGAAGCTTAAGCAATGAAAATGTAGGTAGGAAATTAAAAATGGAAGACCCTTACACATTACACCCCTGTAACGTTGCTCTTCAGGAAATCAGCCCAGGATCTTTAGGAAGCGATAATTACATCAGATTTTTAAAATCTTCCTAGGGTAGATGACTTTATAGCTAAACACTATTTTGCATCTTAAAATGTTACAAAAAGTTATGAAGAGTCTTGTTTTTCAAAACAAGCAGATTTTTAAAGTGTGTTAGAGAGAACAGATGTGTTGTATGAACGTGACAGAGCCAGCCTGAGGATCCTCAGGATTCAAGGCTCAGATGATCATTTGGCTCCTAACACCGTAATTCTTCCAGCCATCTTCTCGGTGTCCTGTCCTGACCTCGGTGTCACCCACTCCAGTGGCATGGGAAAGGTTGTCACACATAGCTGCACCAGGCTCGATCTGGCCTGGGAGCCAACTCAGTCCTTGAACTTCTGTGCGTGGATGTTGCCAGCTTTTGCTGAAATCATAAATCATTTAAGTTCCAGCCAGCAGTGGTTGTGCTTGAGAAAATCGACCATTATCTGTCCACACTTTTAAAGCAGCCAAGAGGAGTCTGGCTGCTATAATAGATAAAATATATATATAAATATTTACAGTTCTTGAAGCTGATAGCACCATACAGTCCGGTGTAGTGCTCAGGCCAATTAAGGAAATACTAGATGATCACTAGTAGCTGTTAGTAGGATTTATTTCCAAAATATTAAAATGCAAACTGTGTCTCTTCATATGTGCATTAAAGGAGTATTTTTTGAAAATCATACATGTTGTTAGTCTAGTTTGGCTACAAAACTAGGTTTTCTTGAATCTCAAGCCATGACACCTTGAATTACAGGGGAATGGCTAATAGGTACAGGGCTGATACAGCTCTATATGTAACTTAGTTATGAATATTTTGATTGTAATTTCTGTCCTGATAGTACTGGCAAAACTGACAATGTTGAATTTCAGATATGTTAGGGAAAGCCAAGAATGCAAATAATTTGAGAACTGATGGGATTTTGTTCTCTTCAATACTTTTACACAAATTTGAAAATGCCATCCTTGAACTACAACACATTTTTGTCTTTGCTTGCAGTTAAATTTCATCCAGACTGATTCAGTTAATGGGCTTGCTGGTGGTCATGTTCAGACACTGATAAATTGCTCTGACCATGGAGGTATTAAGGGACAAGCCTTGGGACAAGGCTTTTAGGCAGAGAGGGAGTGTCATCCATTAGACCAAACAGCGTAGCTGGAATACTTAAGCTTTTCATTTCAGTCCTTTCATTGAATCCTTTATTCATTTTGCATGAGATACCACTATTAAAATATTTAACTTTGTAATCTCAAGAATGTGCTGCTGCAAGGTTTTATCACTTGGCAAGGTTATCACTTGAGCATTTTATGGTGAGGCTGTGGTCCTTTTCCTTTGTACTGTGGAATGCCTGGACATTGCTCGGACATCCATCCTCCCAGGGCATGGAGAGGGCAGCTTTGAAGATCTGCCCTTGCCAAAGGCATCTGTTGGCTCTCCAGTGGCTCTTCCCTACTCTTGGTACGCCAGAGCAAGGCTGTTTGTCACTGTCCACGCTTGGCTGCTTCTCCATCCATCCCCAGGCCCACCGCTTGCAGGCACCACTCATGCAGCTTTGCTGAGCCACATGAATTAACTACACTGGATTTGTCAAGCAGACTCTTCCCTCAGGTAGTTTGGTTGGCAGGTTGTGTAGCACTGCATGTCGGAGCAAAGAGCCGGGGCTAGCTGACCAACGCTTGAATGCAGTGAGTGAAGGGGATGGTTCTCCTTTGCAGACACCAGTAACTTCTGTAGGCATTGCCATATGCATTCGCCTTTTTACCATCTCCTCTCATGCCTGTTAGTCATTTCTAAATAGGCCGGTTATCTGTACATAAGGCAGGCAAGCGAATGTCAGTCACTAGTATCACCACGTTTCACTCATATTTTCTTTAATACTCTATGAGAACATTTCTAAGCCTGCTCTTCATGTGTCTCTCATGAACCTAAGTTGAATTACAGGCATCTTGCTCATTTGTCTGGAGTCTTTTATCAGTCATCCTCTTCAAGCTTTTTCCACCTGCAGTTGTTCAGCTGTGCTAATTGAACCTTGGATGTTTTGAGCCTTCAGATCCCTGCACTGACCTACATCAAGAAATTATCTTTACGTTTACTGCAACTTTGCAACTTCCCTTGGTAACAACTGTGCAATTACTCTAGGGACCTGCTGCTTAGATATTAATTTACTTGTGTTGTCAGAATCCTTACAGCTTCATATTAACGCTAATTGCAGTGCTTCTTCCGCTCTGTAGATCTTAAATGCTTCATGTGCAACGTGGTGTTAATGTTATGAATTGGTAGCATTCTGAGCATTTTTGTGCATTTCTTTCTGCTTGTCTTCAGCATGAAGGGTGGGATTTACCTGGCAGAGGTATATTAGCTAGACTCCCTTTATAGTCAACAGAGAGACACAGGCGCTGCTGGGGCTGATTCATCTCATCTTGAAGTAGGTACCTAAAATAGGTCAGTTGCGTTGTGTCCTGAAAGCTCCATTTTCTCTGCTCAGTGAAGGGAGTGTGGGCTGGGACACGGGAGCTCTCTCAGGCAGACAGCTGCCCTGCAGGCATTTAAAGTTAGGTGAGATCACCCTGCTGCAGGCGTCCTCCCGGAGCGGGGATTGTGTTGCAAGGAGTGCTTCTTTAAGCAGCCAGGGCACTTTTTTCTTCTTCTTTTTAAATTAAGTTTGAAAACTCAACTTTTCTTCCATAAAATAAACCTTCCTGTTAGACGTGCCAGGATTTGAGCCAGCCTGAAGGACGGTTCACCCACTCAAGGGCCAAATTCTTATCTTTACCATTCGAGTGTGAGTAAACTCCCCTTATTCAAGCTCACCGTTGCTGGAGCAGAGTTCAAAGTCAGGCCCAGAGAAGGGTTCATTTTCACAACGAGCTGATGTCCCAAGCCAGAGAGCAGCTCTGACCACTAACCTGCCAGGGGGCAGGGACAAATGCCAGCTTGGGGACCACCACGAAAGCCCCATCTGTGCATTAGGTTCAGTCTCACTAGGCGCAGCAGTGTGACAGCTTTGCCACAAGCAGCAGAGCTGTGCTGGGTCACTGCTCCGCTCTGCTTAAACCAAGCAAGCGGCAGCCACGCAGCATAGCTGGAGGGCTGCCGCGTGCTGGCTGCGACGCCTGCGTCTCCGAGCACTCCCCCGGCCAGCGCCAGGCCATTCATAAAAACCCTCCGCATCACTTATGCTTGTCTGTCAACGCACGGTCCCTTTGATCTCTGTATTATGCAATCTGGAATAAACCGGAGATGTCTCTTGCTAATCTGTTGTGCTGCAGATGATGCTGTTGGAGATTTTACTGTTCAGTTTTTATAGTAACTTTTATAGCACTCGATTAAATAGACCTGGTGTCAGACAGATGTGCTCTTACTCAGCATATTTTCCACTTTCCTCTTTGCCCTGAAGTTTGCAGAGCAAACAGACTTTTAACAAAAGAAAACTCTTGGCCCTGCTGTCCTCCAGCTGCCCTGCTAATTGATCGGGACCTGAGTGCATGGGGCACTACCCCAGTACTGAACAGAAAGATGATCCCTGCCTCTTCTGAAGCTTACGATTTAAATCAGGCTCCATTTGACCGAGTCAGAGCCCAGGAGGGTAGTGCTACTATTCACAATTCCATATAAAATTCACTAATTAATTAGAGTTATTCTAAATGAATAGGTCCCTTTAAGAACCACAGCCCAAAGCATACACTTTTTTTTTTCTTTTAACTGTAGATATAAGTCTTCATGGGTTGAAATAACATTTTAAAAAAGAACTATCTGGGTCTTATATAATCAGCTTGTCCTGATTTCCAAGAAAGCTCATGTTTTTGCTCAAGCAAATGAAGTAATTTAATAAGTGCTTTAAAATCCTTTTCCTTATGTGGGAGGGCATCTTAAACTTACATTTTTTTTTTCCTTACTTCTTATGGCATTTTTAATGAAGCATTAATGTATGCAGAACATCCCACCAACCCTCTTTCCACTGCTGTCTTTTACAAACAATATTTGTAATGTATACCATAGCTTGTCTTTTAAAATAGAAACAGATTGCTGAACAGGTTTTATGTCCTTTATTAGGCTGGAAGATGCTGAATTTAGGGCATTATTTAGTCTAATCCCTTCAAGAGTATGTTTTGTATATTACATAAACAGGGTTTCTTCCATCTTCTTAAACATCGGTACTACAACTATAAATTACATCTTTTTATATGACAACAGCTGTGATCTCTTCTGCGCTGGAGACTTGATGATACTGCTTTCACCCATGATGCTGTTTATTTTTCCATTACTACTTATGCACTAGTGTTTTTACAGTGTCCTCTACAGGAGCAAGTCTACCTTTTTTTAATACAAGATTTTAATGGTAAACCGGTGCATCTGAACTGAATTCTGTACTGCCAGCATAGTTTACCAAAGCTCGTTTGAGCTAGGATTGGTAAAGCTTACAAAAATGTCATCATAAAATCTGCATTTCAAGTGTTAACATTGCTACTAAACTAATTTATATCTCCCAAAATGAGGTGCAGTCATGTAGGCATCTCAGCAACTTCAGTGAAGCGTATTGTTACAAGCCTGAGATGAAATCTGGC